ATGCAAGTGCGACGTTTGAGCGCGATTGCCGGGAGATTGCAGGCCTGCGCTAAGGCGATCGTCTATCAAACGATGACTCCGACGGGCGAGGTCGACCTGCACAGCGACTCCAGTTACCGACGTCTGAACGGAGATGCCGATGACGAGGTCGAAGGCCATGGTATTCGCGGGGCAAACCTGCTACGGCGTGGACGCGCGCACGCTGGCAAGCCCGTCGCCCATGTTGTCGACGCGCACTGCAAGTCTCATCGGTCGCAGGTCCGCTCGAGCTACTCATCGGAAACGAACGCTTGCAGCAGCCTATGACTTGGAGGACTGCTATTCCGCGATCGCGACTCTGCACGAACTCCGCGCAGGGCCGCTGACGCCCATTCAGTTGAAATACGTGCCTGAGATGGGCGGCCTTAGCGTTGAGGTCACCTTGGCCATCGATGCAGAATATGTCTTGAAGACCTTGTCAACCGCAGACATGAACAAGCCGACTGAGCATGCACTTCTGGGACGCACCAGTTGGATGCGACAGATGATGGAGCGGGGCATCGTGCGCTGTGCAAGTGGTGTGACACTCGCGATATGACCGCGGACGGCCACGTCCAAGGGGGCATCGACAGAGACATGCTCCTAGAAGCCACGGGTGGAACGCAATCCTTCGAACAGGAGTAAAACAACGGCGCGCTCCATACAGGGCTGGCCTGACGAAGTCGCCTGAGCCGCCTGGCGAGCAGCCATCTGCAAGGCACCTTGCCTGCGAGGCAACTTGCTTGCACAGGAACTTGCGCGCGGCTCAACATGCCTTGTTGAGCCCGCCTGCTGCTGCCTACCTGGTGCAATATCGCGTTTAGCTGTGCAGCTGGCGGCGGACTCGCGCTTCGCCCCCCCCCCCCCCCCTCCCCCCCGACTCTGAAGGAGGCTGGGGCAAAGGCGAGAGATGGCGAGCGGTTGTCCGCGGCCGTTTGTGCTCAATCGGCCGGCCGCCAAAATATGTCTGCGCCTCATCGCGAGGGCGCTACTTGCCATTGGGACCGAAATCATCTTCGCTTGACATGGCCCGTCGCTCCCGCGACGATTCTTCAGGCTTACGCCACATCCGCCGACCCCTTATGAAGAATCGCGCAGTGGTCTGGTCGCCTCTTTGGGTGGTCTGAGGCCCCTGGGCCATTCTTGGGGCATTCTTGGGTTGTCTTGGGGCCCCTTAGGCCGTCCTGTGGCAGTATTGGGCTGTCTTGGGGCTCTCTTGGGCTGTCATCGGCCTCTCTTGGGCTGTCATGGGGCGCTCTGGGCGTTCTTTTCGGCCGTCTTGGCCGTCGCCATCTGTTGCCGAGGACTGTGGTATGCCCTTGGTGACCTCAGAACTGCTTTGCGGTGTCTTTTGGAACCGTCAGGGGCGGCCGTGGGGTGACCTTCGATCGTTTCAGGCCATGGTCAGAGACCCGCCGAAACGCCCTGCGGAAGCAAGTGACGAGCACGGCGGGAAGCGACGCAAGTTGCGAGGAATCTGACCGCGAGTCGCGCGCGTTGTCTTCGGGGCTCTCTTGGGCCGTCCTCTGCCCCTCTTGAGACCCGTCTTGGCGCCCTCTTGGGCTGTCGCGGGGCCCTCGTGGAGGCTTCTTGGACCGTCTTGGTGCGGTCTTGGGGGGCTCTGGGGCCGCCCAGGAGCGGGGAACACCCCAAAAGGCGCACGTGCGAGAAATATATACGTTTTACGAAGGGAACGGGCGTTTTTGTGCGTCTAGAGGCCCTCTTGTGGCGCATCGTGGATGCCTCTTGGGGCGTCTTGAGGGCCTCTGTAGCCGTCTGGAGGTCGTCGTCAGTGTTGTTGATCGCTCTTGGACCGTCGGGGGCCATGTGGAGCTCTCTTCGAGGCCACTCGGGACGCTCCTGGAGCGCTGTCGGGGCCGTTTTCGGAGCCCTTTTGGGCCGTCTTGGACGTCTGTTGGCCCGTCTTGGGGCCCTCTAGGGCTATATGGGGAACCCTCTTGGAGGCGTCTTGGGCCGTCTGGGAGCGGGTTTGGGGGGCTCTGGGACCGTCCAGGAGCGGGGGGCACCCCGAAAGGCGCACGTGTGAGAAAAAATATACGTTTTACAAAGGGAACGGGGGGTTTTTTGCGTCTAGAGGCCCTCTGTGGGCGCATTGTGGATGCCTCTTGGGCCGTCTTGGGGGCCTCTTCAGCCGTTTGGAGGCCGTCGTCGATGTTTGTGATCGCCCTTGGACGGTCGAGGACCATGTGGAGCTCTCTTCGAGGCCACTCGGACCGCTCCTGGAGCGCTCTCGGAGCCGTTTTCGGAGCCCTTCTGGGCCGTCTTGGACGTGTGTTTGCGCGTCTTGGGGCCCTCGAGGGCTATGTACGGACCCTCTTGGAGGCGTCTTGGACCGTCTGGGAGCGGGTTTGGGGGGCTCTGGGGCCGTGCAGGAGCGGGGGTCATCCTCAAAGGCGCACGTGTGAAACAATATACGTTTTACGAAGGAAACAAACGATTTTTTGCGTCTAGAGGGCCTCTTGGGGGGAATCTTGGATGCCTGTGGGGGCGTCTGGGGAGGCCTCGTGAGCCGTCGGGAGGTCGTCGTCGATGTTTCTGATCGCTCTTGGACCGTCTGGGACCATGTGGAGCTTCGGGGAGGCAGTTCGGAGCGCTCCTGGAACGCTCTTGGGGCCGTTTTCGGAGCCCTTTTGGGCCGTCTTGGGCGCCTGTTGGCCCATCTTGGGCCCTCTAGGGGTCTGTGGGGGACCCTCTGCGAGGCTTCTGGGGCCGTTTGGGAGCGGGTTTGGGAGCCTCTTGGGCCGTCGGGGAGCATCGGAAAGATCCAAAGCTGAATTTTTAAGATGTACATTTCACAATGGGAATGGCCCAATTTTGGCGTCTAGGGACCCTAGCTCGTGGGGACCTCTTCTGCCGTCGAGGACGCCTCGTGGCCCGTCTTCGGGCAACTTGGACGTCTTGGAGCGCTCGTGGGGCGTCCCAAATCCATGTCAAAGCCACCAGACGCGTCCCTACACGAATTTCACGTGTTTTTCCACGTTTTTCGTCACCCCCAAAAGCGCACGTGTGAAAAAATATACGTTTTACGAAGGAAACAAACGATTTTTTGCGTCTAGAGGGCCTCTTGGGGGGAATCTTGGATGCCTGTGGGGGCGTCTGGGGAGGCCTCGTGAGCCGTCGGGAGGTCGTCGTCGATGTTTCTGATCGCTCTTGGACCGTCTGGGACCATGTGGAGCTTCGGGGAAGCAACTCGGAACGCTCCTGGAACGCTCTTGGGGCCGTTTTCGGAGCCCTCTTGGGCCGTCTTGGACGCCTGTTGGCCCATCTTGGGCCCTCTAGGGGTCTGTGGGGGACCCTCTGCGAGGCTTCTGGGGCCGTCTGGGAGCGGGTTTGGGAGCCTCTTGGGCCGTCGGGGAGCATCGGAAAGATCCAAAGCTGAATTTTTTTAAAATGTGCATTTCACAATGGGAATGGCCCAATTTTGGCGTCTAGGGACCCTTGTGGAACGCATCTCGGAGGCCCTCGGGGGAGCTCGTGGGGACCTCTTCTGCCGTCGAGGACGCCTCGTGGCCCGTCTTCGGGCAAACTTGGACGTCTTGGAGCGCTCGTGGGGCGTCCCAAACCCATTTCGAGGCCACCAGACGCGTCCCTACACGAATTTCACGTGTTTTTCCACGTTTTTCGGGAGCGGATGAGACCTCCGGGGGGTCCGGCCCGTCCGGCCGGTCCGGCCGGACCCCCCCCCCCTTTCCTCCAAATGGACCGGACCGGGCTCCCGGGGGAGGGGTTTGGGGAGGGGGAACATCTCACACGCCGATGAACCCCAAGGGGTCGGCGGATTTCTTACTCCTGGGACTATCGCTACTGCGGTACAACAGAGTTGGATCTGGGTTTCGCCCTAGGGGAAGCGTATGGTTGGGCCCCCCCGGCCCCCTTCAAACTCTTCTTGCAGGTTTTGCTTTCGAGCTGGATCGATAGGTGATGGCTCTGGGGCCCAAAGAATTGGACGAAAACGTCGGTCTTGAAACAAGTAGTGTTTTTCTCTGACGTGGTGAGGTTTGGGAGCACGGGGCCTGGTCCAGTCGAAGCGCCCCTCGTGAGTCCAGCCGCTCCTCCCTGAGGTATTTTTCGTCCCGGATTCGCGTTTGACGGCCCCGTCCCCCGAAGGGCGAACCCGAAGAATTTCCGCCAGTTTGTAAAGTGAATCGTCCTGAGATCTGGTTACCCGCCTCTTGGACGTCCCATTTTGGGAGCCCCAAAGGTAGGGCCGACGGACAGCGGGGCGGGCCTCGGGGCGGCCTGCAACCTTCAGAGCCGCGCGTTGTACCCGCAACGACACTCGCAGTTAGGAAAACCCGCCGGTTGAGCAAACACATTTCGTCTGAGATTTGGGGGTCTGTGAGATCCGACGCTGCGCAACAATAAATATATCGCGAAACATCACGACCGAAGCCCGATACCTCTTTGTCAGCGGCGTTTCTCGAACCAGATTCGTTTGCGAGCCCCCCAGGGCCCCAGGCTGGGCACACTTTTCTTGTCAACGTCGAGGCGGAGAACTCCGCGCCAGCGAGAAGCTGGAAAGGGACACTAAATAGCGAATTGGCCGGCGGGCGCAGAGGGGGGGGATGGACGGCCGAGAGGAAAAAAGGACGCTGAGACGTCGAAGGGTTCGACGATGACCAGCCGGGGGGGGCAGCAGCACCCAGGCGCGCAGGGCCAGAGCGCGGTGGGCGGCCGAGGCAAACCACGGTGGCAAGGGAGGCGAGAGGGCGGCTGCCAGCAGCTGGAGCTGGCGGCTGGGCGCATTGGGACACCACGGACGGCAGAGGTACCGCGACGCGCCGAGGAGTACGCACAGCACTGAGCCGAGCGGAGGCAGGCAGGAGGTGGAGGCACTGACAGGGAACCCCAGGTGGCCAGAGGGCAGAGAAGGGTGGGGCAGGTGGCGGTGGGCGAAGCGGGCGAAGCGAAGCGTGTGGAGGAATTGCAACGACCAGCGGGAACGCCCCCGGGAGCCCCAGCCGCGGGGCGCGGCGTGCATCGCCGCCTGCCACCACATGCTCGAGCGCTCCGAGCCCACCCTGCACGGCCATCTCGCCCAGGCTTTGCCGGCGTGCGCCCGCCGCCGAACCCCCCTCACGCGGCTTTTCGGGGCGCGTCGTCCGAGGGTGCGCAGGGGGTCAGAAAAGAGCGTTTTTTATTTCTTTGGCGATGGCGGGCGTGACCGGCTGCGGAAAGGGGAGATCGGCATCGGGGGGGCGCATCGACTTCCGATCGGCCATTCAGCGCCGATGGGGGTCCGCTAGCCCCACCCCGCCCAGGAACGTAGGGATTTGCTATCGGGGGCCTATCGCCAGCCTATCGGCAAAATATCGCCGATTCCAGGTTCCCCATGCCAGTTCGCCCTTTTCGTTCCCCTTTCAGGGGAGGGGGGAGGAATGGCCCACTCCCAGACGGCGCCGGCGCGAGTTGTGACGTGATCAGGGGTAGGGGAACGGGGGGCCTGGGTTGGTCGCGGGCGTGATCGCGAATAATACAAGAACGAGCTCGCGGAAAAACAGGTACCGATACCGTCGCCCATCCGTTTCTTTCACCTTTTTGGCCTCCTGGGAGGCCCTCGTCGCCGCGGCTGGATTCGCCTCGAAATTCTGGTCAGGACGTTCCCCTGCAGAGGTCAGCGAAGTAGGACACAATTTTTGAAGGGTCCGGCGATCACCCAGGTTCTCGGGCCAGCGGCGACGGCGGGCGCTTTTTTTAGATTTCGGCCCTCGGGGGCAATTGCCGGGCCCTGGGACCATCAAGCATGAGCAGGGAGGAGAGAAGGGTAAGAGGCGTGTGAGGACAAGCGAGGAGGAGCAGGAGGAGCGGGAGGAGGAGGATGAGGAGGAGGAGCAGGAGGAGGAGGGATAAGGAGGAGGGAGAAGGGAGGAGGGGGAGGTGGAAGGATCGGAAGGAAGACGAGAAGGACAGGGAGGAGCGAGGAGGAGAGGTGGAGGACAAACGAGTACGGGGAGGACGGCGGCCGAGGGAGGAACGCAGTGCAATGCAATGCAACGCGTTTTGCGACTGCGCCAAAGGGAAAGAATTGATGCCGGGCTTCAGGGTGTACATCCTCATGGGGATGAGGGAAGGAGGACGAGGAGCAGGAAAAGGAGGAGGAGGAGGTTCTCAAAACTCCGCGGGGTGAGGAAATGGTGGACAGGGGGCAAGATGAGGAAGTGGAGGAGGAAGGACATCGTCGGCTCAGTGGAGGGGGGGGAGAGTGATTGGGAATTGAAGGAGTTCTCCTGCTGCGCGCCCGATGCTCCGTGCACGGTTTGGTGGCCGCCGTGGGGGAGGAGGAGAGAGACGGAGGGGGAGCGGGCGTGCGGGCTGGAGGGCGGGTGATCGGGCGGGCGAGCGTGCGTGCGGGCGGGCAGGCGCGAGGGCGGGGCGGGCGGGCGGGCAGCGAGCGGGCGCTCGCGACGACTGTCGGGCGTCGCCTCAAAGTTTCCGGGCTCGCCTTGCTACCGGACCTCTGGGGTCGGGAAGTGGCACTCGCACGTCGGCGGCGGTCAGGGATCGGGGTCTAGCCCCAAGGTGCGGTTGTCAAGGAGTTCTAGGAAATCGGGGGTTCAAGGTCAAATGTTTTCGCGCGTTTTCATCGGTTCTCGGCGGTGCCAAACCCCACCTCCTCGCGTCGTAAATAGATCGCGACGGGCAATTCTGCACAGATTGCGGCCTCTGGGGGTCTTCACTGGGCCCCGACTCCCAGTCTTGGGCGTTTACCCATCAGTCCTACTATATTTGCTTCATCCTTAGGTGCGTTTGCTAGAGGGTTTTGCTCGTAGGGGTGCAAGCAATGAGGGTGGAATTCTGAACACGGCACTCAGCGGCGGGCCCCAGCGCGGGCGTTCAAGGTTGAACGCCGCCAGTGGTCCGGTTGTCTGCAATCGGTCGATCTATTGGAAAAAATCCAGATTTTCCCAAATGGGGCCAGAGGAGATGGGCTCGGAGGATTCCGCCGCATCGCCGATGCATCGGCGATGAGGCCGTTCGTTGGATTCAAGTCGGGGAGCCTATTCGTGTCCGAGGCTCGCCATGGCCAGAGCATCGAAGAAGAGAGTGGCGTAAACCTGAACTTTCGGGGGTCCGCGTGGATGTCTTGAATCGGCGTTGAAAGTCTGGGAGCCTATTCGTGTCCGAGGCTCGCCGTGGCCAGAGCATCCAAGAAGAGGAACGGCACACATCTACACACCTGGGGGTGCGCGTGGATGTCTTCGATCGACGTTGAGCTCTCCTACCTGGCGCGACGAGGGCGCCAGGGGCTGGCCGGAGGCGCCGCCAGGGGTCCAGCGCCTCCGTGCGGACCTCCGAAAGCTTCTGTTTGTGCTGCTTCTGAGTCGGAGTGGAGGTTTCAGACGAACTAGTGCTTCCCTGCAGCGCTCATGGAGGCCTGCAAGAGGGTGTTCGAGAAGCCGGTGTCGGAGGATCGCGCCGCATCCCCGATGCACCGCCAGCACATCGGCGCCGCCAGATGGACGAATTCGGCTCCAAGTCGAGCCGCATCGCAGACGCATCCGCGATGCGGCGCGATCCTCGGGCCCCATCCGGGAGGCCTGGACCTCCGATGACCTCCGGCTGAGACGCTGTCGAGACCCCACCGAGGCCCCCGTCGAGGCCCCCGCAGACCCCGCCCCCCTTGGTGCTGGCGAAGCCTCCCGCCGCAGCGGCGGCCCGGCGGGCCTCCTGCGCTCCGGGGTCCACGTCCCCGCCTTCCTGCTGAGGTGGCTCCAGGCGCGCCGCGGCCCCGGTGGGCAGCCCATGATGGGAGCCTAGCGTATGTCCTCGAACTTCCGTCTCTACAGTGCACTGACGTCGGTTACAGTGTCTGGCAAGCACTGAGCTAGCAGCCAGCAACGACTTAGTGTCGAGTAGCATCGATTTAACGTCGGCCTAGCGTCGATTAGCGTCGGTTCGCAAGAGCCAGCCAGATAGTATGGGTGGGAGGCTCCCATGAGTTGCCACGGACGCCCCGCCCTTCGCGCGGGGGCTGTTCCGGTCCGATCGATTCGATTCTATATTGATTCTGGCCAGCTCGTTGCGATTCGATTCCGATGTTCCGACGATCCGATGCGGCCGATGCTTGCATGGCGCTGTTCTGCATCCTGGCGTGGCTGATTCGATTCGATTACGACTCCGTGCCGATGCGGCCCAATCCGACTCACATTCCAAGTCGATGCAAGTTACCGATGCGATGCTGACTGATCCTGCCCTTCGCGCGGGGGCTCCGCTTTCGTCGCCGAGCGCCTCCTCGGCCTCAGACCCTCTCGAACCGCGAGTAGACAGCCCGGCGGGGATTTGTTGTTCGGCCAGTCTTGGCCTCCAGGGGTGCCCTCGCGGGGCCCCCGGCGCCGGCAGGAGCGGCCCGGGACGAAGGCCAGCCCTCGGGAAAGAGATCGACGTGGCGAGGCACCGTGCAAATGCAGAGACGTCCCAGTGCGGGACGCATGCGCTGGGGACCCGAGACAGGTCCCCAGGTATCGGGGGCGGACAGACCCCCCATCAGTGACACGTCGATTAGTGAATTGTCCGTTTTCGGTTCTCGCGAGGGCGCCGTGGCCGCTATTTTCCAGCCTTGCGCCCGCCAGGTTTGGGCCTCAGGTCGTTTTCACTAAACCACGTTTTACTAAAGGGGGGTCTGTCCATCCCCGAAGGTAGGGTCCCTGAGATGTTGCTTGCAAGCACAGGCGGCTTCTCAGAGGACCGGAGGGCCTCTGAGAAGCCCCGCCGTTTCCCGAGAGCGCCAGCCCCCTTTCACTTTCCCCCTGGACTCGCCGCCGAAGAACATGTCGAGCAGCTTTGCCCCCAAGAAAAAGCGCAACCCGCCAGCGCTCCCAGGCCCTCTTCGTGACCTCGCTGCCGGTGCCCGCGGCCATGCAGCTCTGGGACGTCGTCAGACAGCCTGCCTCGCGGCTGCCCAACGCCGGCCTTCGCCACTCGCTGATGCATTGGCGATGCATTGGCGATGCGGCTCGATGTGGAGCCCGACTGTCTCCACGCCGACGTGATGCATTGCCGACGTCGCCGATATATCGCCGATGGATCGGTGATGCATCAACGATGCGCCGCGATTCTCCGACCCCATCTGGGAGGCCTCTAAGGATGCAACTCCTGACAGGTTGAATGCCAAATCGGCGCTGGTGTATGCCTGGTCGAGCACAGGCCACAGCCGTTGAATCCCGCTTAATCCCGCCTGATCTGGCCTAACCCGTCTCAGTGGCTCCCGCAAACCCGCCGAAACCGCGAGAGGTCTTTAGTTTTGCTCATTCCCCCTTTGTGTCTCTCGGCAAGGCATAGAACTCGTCCCTTCTTCTCTGTCTCCTCCTCCCCCTCCTCATCCTCCTCCTATTCCTCCTCCTCTTCCTCCTCCTCCTCCTCTTCTCATTATCCTGCTCCTCCCCGTCCTCCTCTTTCTCCTTCTCTCGTCCGGGTGCCGCGGGTGAATACTTCTTTGGTGGGGCCCCAGTCCGTCAATAATGGCGTCGAGACGATGATTTGTTTCCACAGTTTGGGGGGGTCGAAAGACCTTTCGCGGTTGGTCATTTCGGTTAAGGCGTCTTCAAGTCGCACAGAGCGAAAAATCTGCAGTGGCGCAGATTTGCGGCCCGCGTGGTCTTCCGTGGGCTGACGTTTGGCCCGCCTGGCGCGGCCATTGGCGCCGTCTCGGTTGCCGTCCCTGTCGGTGCAACGAGTTCGCTGGAATTCTGGCTTGCCAACGCTTTTTGACGAACCCTTCCCGAGTTTTTACGGTACAGTCGTCGTTGGACGTCTGCAGCGGGAGTTCGCGTCGAGTCTCAGGGAGCGGTCGCGCCAGGAGGGGCGCCCGCCTCGCGACGTGCTCGCGGCCCGCTGGGCACACGGAGCCACCATTGTGCGCCACATTGCTTCGGACGGCCGAGTGCCGCCCGTGGTGCGCCGGTGGAGTCGGAGCCATCGTTCAGTTCAGCCATGCGCTCACAGACTGGGGCCAGGGGGGATTTGTCGGGAGCGTTTGTCCAGGCCTCCCAGGGGGGGGTCGGAGCCAGAGGATCGCGCCGCATCGCCGATGTATCGGCGGTGCGGCCAGATTCTCCGACGCCCTCTGCTCCGACCCCCTCTGGGAGGCCTTCTAGTCTGTTCGAACGAGCCCAGATGCACGATGCCCTCTGATGCGCATGCGTGTCCACGCGCAGGTGGGCAGCGAGGATCTGCGAGGGCTTGTCCGTTCTCGTTCCCGCCACGGTGTCGATCCTGCGCGTCGTTGGG